TACTAGTGTAAATATAGGTACTAGTGTAAATATAGGTACTAGTGTAAATATAGATACTAGTGTAAATATAGATACTAGTGTAAATATAGGTACTAGTGTAAATATAGGTACTAGTGTAAATATAGGTACTAGTGTAAATATAGATACTAGTGTAAATATAGGTACTAGTGTAAATATAGATACTAGTGTAAATATAGATACTAGTGATAGGCAAATGAAGCTTTTCTGAAGCTTGTTTAAAAAAAGGGTTAATTATTGAAGCTTTTCAACACAGTCCTTTTGGCTTCATCTTCATCTCAGCTGCCATCTGAAGGTCAGCCTGAAACCACAGCACGAAACGAATCGGCTCATCGTGGTTGACCAACCGACAGTCGACAGCTTTTGTTTAACATCCTGACATTTCTCTCTGATATCGGGCTGTCACTGAGGGACTTTGAACATTATATTTTTTTGTAGGTGATAGAATGACACGATGCCCCTTTGCTTGGGACTTCTTGACATTTGTAAACACAGAAACAAACAAAGAAATCTCATCTGATTCACAACACCAGTCTGGAATGAAGCTTCCAGCCTCCATGACTTTACGTAACAAACCATGTGTAAAAACATTTGAACCTATCTAATAAACATAAACCTAATGTTTACTGCAAGATGAGACTGTAACTTACAGTGTTTTTCTAAAGTTTTTTCCCCTTGTGGTAAATGTGCTTATCAACTGATAAACTAAAAACATAAAACACAACAGGCTGGCTGGCTCCATGTCTCACCATGTGTCACCTACTGGTTTATTTTTTAGCAAACTGCACCACTAAAACACGCCACATATCCAGCCAACCATTTACTTCATACAGCGTTAAATCAGGTACCAAAGCAGTGACGTCACTTTGGCACTTTTGAAGCTTCAGACGTCATACATCACGTGACTTTAGCCAACAAACAAGCACCGACACGGAGCTTCGGAAACACCGTGTTGTTTCTGGTACATGGCTCGGAGCTTCTGCTTCAAACGGCCCATCGCTAACCGGTACACTGGGGCAAGTGCAGGATAACTTCATACGAGTGCAGTATCAACTGTGACAGGTAGGTAAAAGCACCTGGTCAACATTACTGCAGCCTCCATAACTTCCAATAGTGAGTTCCCTTCTGGCTCACAAGAACTGCATCTTTACCAGAGATTAATAACTAGTTTAGGTTTAACTGGAAAACATTAAAGTCCTGTCAGACTTCTGAGCTACACAACATGACAGCTATTCTATAAAAACTTAATAAAGATTATACTGTAGATCTGCTGTAGATGAATGAGTATGGAGAAACAGAATTTATTTCTGACCGGACCCACAAGCTGACAGCAAGCCTGAGCGAGGTCAAGACCAAATTAGGGATCAATGTCTTAAAACAACTTTTTTAAGTAATAGTTCATGCAAACATTTTTTTATGAACCTTTAGCTCACAGTTTATTTCACATTACGCAGTACTTTCCAGAAAATATATGCTGATATTCCTGGGGGCTATGATAACTTAGTGGTCAGTGCCGTGGTCGTCCAATCCTGAGGTTGCGGGCTTGAGCCCAGGTTGCATCAGGAAGGGCACCGGGCATAAAACTGCAAAATCCTTCATGTAAATTTGCTTGCTGTGGCAACGCCTGAAGAAGGGAGCAGCCGAAATAATCGGACTGATATTCAAACACGAGCTACAAAGCTGCTGTCGCTTTTTGAATTTGAGTTCAGTAGACCCTCGCTACTTCATGGTTCGTTATTAGCATACTCGCTCTATCGCGGTTTTTCAAAATAAGATTGGGCACGACGCACAACTGGATGATTGATGGATGAGCTGCATGATCAGCATGGAATTTATATTTAAAATATATTATTTTAAATTATTTAGCACCTGCTGCAGCTGTGTGCAGCCCATAACTTGCAACTGATCAGCTGATCTCTGTTCTGCAGGAGGCAGAGAGCTGAAATCATGACATGCTGTGCTCTTTTAGAGTGTTTAGAGTTTAGATACATTGTTTAGAAGATTGCAAGAGTGTAGGAAGGGTTTAAAATGCCTGTATTTTATATATATATATATATATATATATATATATATATATGTGTGTGTGTGTGTGTGTGTGTGTGTATAAATACTAAAATAAACTACTACTTACTACTTGCACTACTATTCCTACTTTGCAGTTTTTCACTTAAGCTTCAGGGCACGGATCCCTCGCGATAAACGAGGGACTACTGTACATCCACAAAAATCTACATAAAATCCCAGTGTGATGAGAAAATGACAGCTGTGTAAATGTTTATAAAATACAGAAATGGATCACAATTATATTTTTGAGACAAGAAATTTAAGATGGTCTTGGCCTTGTTCAGAAAAGCTGTTAGCTCGTCAGTCCAGTCAGAATCAAACGAGCCGAAGTGGTTCTTTAAACAACTACCTGTCAACAGACAGCTCAACAGATGTTTACACTCTTTCTACAGAAGCCTTCTTCAAAAGACCTGAACATTTTTCATTCAACCTTTATTTATACAAGTTAATCTCACTGAGCCTTAGGAACTCCTTTATAAGAGACCTGAATTTACTTTAAGACACTACTTTAGCTCCTCAAGATGTTTTTGTACATAAGCTGATTTGAGTGGATGCAGCATGAGAATAGAAGTGCAGAAGGTACCAATGAGCAACCCAACAAGTTTAACTTAAAATAAGTGAAACATCATTTTCTTTATAACTTGGCCTTTTTCTGAAAATAATAGGGCAAAAGAGATCCCTATCAATTCACACAAAATACCAAGAATGTCGAATCCATTCTCTTCATCCCCAAAGGCATCTTCATGTGGAGCCAAGTTGTCAAAGCTTCTGTCCAGCAGAGTGTTCGTCTGGCTCTGTGACTCAAATCCTGAGTGTCAGAAAGGAAGAAAAGAAGAGAGGTCGGGTCAGATACCTGCTGCTGGATAATCTACTCATGGAGATCATACAGTAAAAGTCGCTATGCAAGTATAAACTTTAAGTTAGAAAGTTTAAATTATATTAATAATTATTAATATTTAGGGGGAAAAGAAGCTAAACTGATTATTTTTGCCAGAGGAAGACTAACGAAACAAAACAAACTAAAATTTACATGTTACTACATGGGGGCAGCCGAGTAGTGGGAGAGTTGGGGGTTCGACTCCACCAGCATTCACATGCTGAAGTGTCCTTGGGCAAGACACTGAACCCCTCACTGCCTCCGATGTGTGTCCCATCGGTGTATGAATGTGATAAAGAACTGATAGTCTTTGTAGAGATCTAGTAGAGTGCTGTATGAATGGGTACATGAGGACACAGATTGAGTCCTTGAGTGTCTTGATAAGATCGAACGGAGCTATACAAGTACAGTCCATTTGTCAATTTCCATTTACAAAAATGTTTATCAGTTTTGTTGCACAGTAAAGCACATTTGGCTGGTCTTGTGTGGCTGAACTTATATTAAAGCAATTATTTGTTTCTCACCAAAGTCTGGGAAGCTCAGGAAGTTGCTCCCAAAATTCTCTTTCAGCGTGATTTCCTCTGGTTTGCACTGGTTCAGTGAAAAGTGGTCCACAACATCGATGTCGCTAGTGTCAACAACAAATAACAGAACAAACACAAGAGGTTTAACACAAGAAAATATCAAAAACACAACATTGTAAATAAAATGTTTAAAGTGTTCATGAACAAACCCTAAAATTATGTATTTTATTTTAAGTACTGTAGTTTGAAAGAATACTACTGTAGTTTTTCCTTTAACTCCATTTTCTGCGCAACTGTAAAGTGAAATGACTCCAAGAATATTGGAAAACTAAAATCTAAAAATAAATTTAAAAAACAGCCTGAGATGTACCGAAGAGGACAAAATGGTACCTGGGGTCTGGAAACTGAGCATCAAATGCAGTGAAATCTTCAACCAAAGTAATCGCTTTTACTGTGGCTTCAAGGCCCTCCACAGGCATATCTGTTTGACCTGGGGTGTTGATTAGTAAAAACAATCACATATTATATTTAGAATTAAAATACTGATAGCAATAAGCAGTTGTACAAAAATGAATAACAGTGACCTTTTGATCCCTCAAGTTATTTTTGTTTGTTGTGAAAGGAGCTCTTCTGAATCAGACCCAAAAGTATGTTCAAATGTCTCCCTCTAGTGGTCACAGATGAGAGAAATTATGTAGTTGTGTAAAAATCATTCTCTACAAACATGTTTTTGTTATTAGAAGTGCAAAAAGCCGTAGAGTCATTCTTATTGTTTGTGCTCCACCACAAAATACAACTTCACAAAGTTTCTTAAAGGTGAATAAAAACAAATAAATCTGAACAAATGACAAACTCCCTAAAAAAGACATTTTAGTGTTTTCAAACTAATAACCATTTGTGTATTGTACATACCAAATACTATTATGAATCATTTTATATATTTAAACAAGTTTTGGGCTCAGGTTTTACACCACAACCACAAAGCTTTAAACCTAATCTTCATAAGCACCCAGCACACACACTTTTTGCCCCACTCCCTTCAGGCAGAAGGTTGAGGAGCATTAAGTGTAGAACCACTAGACTGAGGAACAGCTTCTACCCTGAAGCTGTTAGACTCATAAATACCTAATCAGGATTATCACTGTGAAAAATAAATAAATCATTGTAATCACCACTTTGATTGCTGATATAAGCTGCTGATTATCCATGCTGCTGATCTCATGCTGCTGTATTCATTCATACTCATCTACTCACACAGACTCATGCTTGTGCTGTTGTTGTTCAGCGTATTGTTTGTGCACGATCAAGTGTCTAGCATATTCTTAGTTCATATCTTAGATCTTTATTACTGTTTTCTTTTACAATTTATATTTTTGCTATTTTTGTATGTAACCGGGACCCTGTATACACAATTTTGTTCCACCTCATGTACCATAAGTGTTGCGAATGACAATAAAGAACCTTGAACTTGATAATATTTGAAACATATTGACAGAATTATATATATGAAAGAAAAAAAAATGCTGTTACCTGGCCTGAATGCAATTTTAATTTTGACCACAGCATCATTACAATCTGCAAGGAGATACTTTGCTTTCCTGGAGTAGATTCTGACCACACCAAGAAGCAGGTGGCCTGAAGTCCTCAATCCAATTTTCATCTATTTGAGGATAAACCACACATTAATGTCTCAAACTGCAGCTCGTGTGTTTAGTTTTGTTGGACAGTGTACCTTTGGGGAAATGATGTCTCTAATGGTGGTTTCCAGGTTGCACTCAAACACATGAGCCTTGGTGAGTTTCCTCTCCCAGTGCGCTGCTAGCCAGATTTTAGCTAATGGGCCTCGTTTGGACGTGAAAAGTTGAGTGTAGAACATCATGTCGAACAAGTAGCTGCCATGCAACATAAAAAAGGTTAGTGTCTGTAATAATAAACTTTGGTGAAGTTCCACCTGCTGAGAACAAGCAGCACACAAACTTTTTTTTATTCTTTGCTAGCTCTCACCTGCCAAACCGCGCTAACTTTAACTGCGTCACTGAGTCAGCGGTTTATTTATTCAGTATGGAGGCGACTATTTTTATACGTTTAATCATTTACACAAAAATAAAAATAACTGCTATGAAGAATTTATCTTGTCTAACTGATAGACTAACAGCAGAAGGGCCTACCTTGGTTTTTAAAAGTACCGCGTTTTTTGACTAGCGTAACGCGAGGCTTGTTCGGTAACCTAGCAACGGTCCTGAAAATTACGGAGCCCCGGAGTGGACAAGGGTTTTTTTTTTTTTTCTTTACCTCAGAAAAGTTGTTCATTACCTCGAGAAAGATGTGCGTGCGCCCTCATGAAAAACTTACAATTTTTTTTTAAACAAATTAAAATAAAAATACCTAATGTTATTTAAATACCGAAAATTTTCCAATATTTTATATCGTTTACTTTAAGTTCATATAGTTACAATGACAAATGAGAATTATTGTTGACAAGTTCCGGTGGAGGAACACGTAGTTCATGCTTGGCCCCTTTGCTGAAAGAGGAGACAAGTGGTGACCGCCTCCTCCCAGTGCGGCTGCGGCAGCTCTCGGTTTTTTTGTTTTTCAATCGGATCCTCGACGGCGCGACCTGTCAATCAACCCAGAAGGCGTGTCAGTAACTGACCAATCGACGACCTCAATTTGTCCCGAAGGTAAACGCCCCTTACCTGCTGACAAGCTCAACGTTTTTTTCCCTTGAGAAACATTGTTTTAATTAAAACAATAAGTTTGTATCTGTTGTGAGATGATTTTAGCAGTTTTGCAGATTTTTTATCTACTTAATGAAGAATAGTATGACTTCAAATTGTTCATTAAACAGGAAGGAAGGCTTATTATCACTCCTATTACTACAGTGAATGTGGTACTTTGCTATGAGTACGACTATATTTATGGCATCAGAGAAAGCGGAGTTTAAATTATCCACATAAAGCAAAATGGCATCAGCATCAAAAGAAGGAATGTTGAGTTTGAGATTAATCCAGTTTCTGATGTCTGACCAAACACTTTGTATTGACATGAAAAAAACATATTCGAGGGATTCATCTTCTGATTTACAAAAGGCACAAAAATCAACATCAAATTGAAATCTTCTTTGCAGAAACATGGCTACAGAGTCAGAGTTTCTTTATTGTCATTCGCACCTCATGTGGTACATGTGGTGGAGTGAAATTATGTACACAAGGTCCCAGTTACGTCCAACAATAAAATGTAAAAGAAAAACAGTAATAACATCTAACATATGAACTAAGAAAAACATCAACTAAATATACACTAAGCACTCATAACATAAAAACATTGAACATCAGCACAAACATGAACATGAGTCTGTGAGCAGATGTGCACGCATGAACACATCAACATTTAAACAGATCAGCAGCAACATGAAACAGATCAGCAGCAACATGATATGGTTTTTCACAGTGATTATTCTAGTTAGAGATTCATGAGTCTAACAGCCTCAGGGTAGAAGCTGTTCCTCAGTCTAGTGGTTCTACACTTCATGCTCCTTAACCCCCTTCCTGAGGGGAGTGGGGCAAAAAGTGTGTGTGCTGGGTGAGTGGGGTCCTTCATGATGCAGGTGGCCCTCTTCCTGCATCTGGAGGTGTAGATGTCTGTGATGGTGGGGAGGCTGATTCCGACAGATTTCTGTGCAGCCTTCACCACTCTCTGCAAAGCTTTTCTTTCTGCAGCTGTGCAGCCTCCATGCCACACATTGATGCTCGAGCACAGGATGCTCTCCACTGCACACCTGTAGAAGGAGGTGAGGACTGAGCTTCCCAGACCAGCTCGCCTCAGCCGTCTGAGGAAGTAGAGTCTCTGATGAGCTTTCTTGATCAGGCTGGTGGTGTTGTTGCTCCAGCTGAGGTTGTCATTCATGTGTACACCCAAGTACTTGTAGCTGGAGACCACTTCCACCACAGATCCTCTTATGTTCAGGGGGGTGTAGGTGTTTTTGTTCCTTCTGAAGTCCACAATCATCTCCTTTATCTTCTTCACATTGATGTGAAGGTTATTCTCTTTGCACCAGCTCTCCAGGTGTTCCACCTCTTGCCTGTAGCTGGACTCATCATTGTTTGTGATGCATCCCACCACCGCTGTATCATCTGCAAACTTTACAATGTGACAGCCTGGATGGGTAGCTGCACAATCATACGTGAGCAGAGTAAACAGGAGGGGACTCAACACACATCCCTGAGGAGAGCCAGTGCTGAGGGTTATGGTGGAGGAGGAGAGGTTGTGGATCCACACTAACTGAGGTCTGTTTGTTAAAAAGTCTAGTACCCAGTTGCAGATGGAGGGGCTTAGTCCTAGTGTGGATAGTTTGTCCATCAGGGTTTGGGGGATCATGGTGTTGAAGGCGGATGTGAAGTCCACAAAGAGCATACGGACGTAAGAGTTTTTCTGCTCCAGGTGGTTGAG